CCTAGGTAAGTATTTAATATTCTAAATATATGTTATCCAGCCCTGTCAGACAGAATTTGTCCATACTTTAGAGAAATATATAATCTGGATACTGAAGAATATTCTCAGTGTGAAAAGAACCATTGGGCAATTAAGGAACATTTCAACTATGGTTGGAATCATTTTTATTACACCTTTTAAACCATGCTGCAACTCCAGTTCTGCTGGAAGAGTGCTATGTTGCAAAGTACGGCTAGGTCTAGACTACATGTTTTTATCGGAAAAAGCTACACAAAATGCACTCCGCATTTTGCGTAGCTGTTTCCGATTCTTTTGTCGGAAGAGGCTTTTCTGACATTTGGTCCATCTAAATAGGGCCAAATGTCAGAAAAAAACCCTCTTTTGAAAGCCCCCTTCTTCCTCATGCAAGGAGGAATACAGGGGCTTCCGAAAGAGCGCATTTGCATTTCTGCAAAATAAGCGGAAGTGCAAATACATTCTCTGGATCCTGAAAAAACCCCTCAGTGTAGACATAGCCTACTCCACTTAAGAAGAAACAATTAGTTTCATACATACAGAATGGGAAGCGACTGTCTAGGAAGGAGTACTGCAGAAAAGGATCTATGGGTCACAGTGGACCACTGGCTAAATATGAGTCAACAGTGTGACGCTGTTGCAAAAAAAGCAAACATGATTCTGGGATGCATTAATAGGAGTTTTGTGAGCAAGACATGAAGTCATTCTTCCTCTCTACTCTGTGCTGATTAGGCCTCAGTTGGAGTATTGTGTCCAGTTCTGGGCACCACATTTCAAGAAAGATGTGGAGAAATTGGAGAAGGTCCAGAGAAGATCAACAAGAATCATTAAAGGTCTAGAAATCATGAGCTCTGAGAGACGACTGAAAGAATTGGGCTTGTTTAGTTTGGAAAGGAGAAGACTAAGAGGGGACATGATGGTGGTTTTCAAGTATCTAAAAGAGTGTCACAAGGGGGAGGGAGAAAAATTGTTCTCCTTGGTCTCTGATGATAGAACAAGAAGCAGTGGGCTTAAATTGCAGCAAGGGAGATTTAGGGTGGACATTAGGAAAAAACTTCCTAACTGTCAGGGTGGTTAAACACTGGAATAAATTGCCTAGCGAGGCTGTGGGATCTCCATCTCTGGAGATATTTAAGAGCAAGTTAGACAGTCATCTATCAGGGATGGTGTAGACTGTGCTTGGTCCTGCCGTGAGTGCATGGGACTGGACTTGATGACCTTGCAAAGTCCCTTCCAGTTCTAGGATTCTGTAATTCTATGATTCTATGGTTCTATGTTTATATCAATACTTACTAAGATTTATAGGACCAATATTCTTTTTGTTATATTCAGTTTATAAATTTCTCCAAAAACATAATTTGTGTTCTGAAATTTCTCTATGAGCATTAGGTCAGAAGTGCAAGTGGATGTGCTGCTTTAGAAAATCCTGCAGTCATTTTTGAGCTTTTGAAGAAAGGTTGGGGAACCCATTTCTAAGTATTTTCCATATGCTTTATTGTGCATGGATAATGCGAATAGCTTTTGTCCAAAACTTTGGGATCTGTTTTTAGCCTATTATAAGGACTACCTGTTTTGCTTCTCCTGAAGAAATTCTCTTAGGCCTGGTCTACAATACAGCAGAAGGTGGAATTAAGATGCACAATTGCAACTACGTTAATTACGTAGCTGGAGCCAACGTATCTTAAATTGTGTTTCCATGCCACCCGCATAGCAGGAGGTTAACAGCAGCACATGCTCCCATTGGCTTCCCTTACTTCTCTTAAAGAGCAGGATTACTGGGTGCCAACTGGGGTGCCCTCTGAGTTTGATTTAGCAGATCTTCACTAGACCTGCTAAATCGAACTCTAGAAGATCAACCACAGCAGCGTCAATCTTCTGTGTCATGAAGACATGGTTCCAGTGAGAAAGATAGCTTTGTAGCATGTACAGTAGCTGAATGCATTGCTTTTCTTTATTTTGTAATTAAGCACATTGTTCATAAAATTCAAATATCTGTTAACAAGATTTTGTCATATTTCTTGTCCCTATGTATTTCTAATGGAAATACTCACTGTCCTCCTCTGGCACCATGTCCCAGTCTCCAGACTGCTCTGGGTCCTGCTCTGGCGCGTCCACCACAGGGTCCGCCAAGCCTGACTGCACGAGACGCCGTGGTGTGTGTGCTTCACCACCACCCAGGATCTGGTCCAGCTCAGTATAATAGGGGCAGGAGTGGGGAGCTTCCCCAGAACGGGAGCTATCCTCCCTGGCCTTCACATACCCTTGGCGCAGCTCCTTAACTTTGGAGCGCACCTTTTCCTGGGTGCGGGGGTAGTGTCCTTTCTGGGCCAGGGCCTCTGCCATGTGGCCATAAATGTCCGCATTTCGCCGCCTGCTTTTTAGGGCTTGTAAGGCCTCCTCCTCTCCCCAGAGCTCGAGAAGGGTCTTGAGCTCTGGCCCAGACCATGATGGTGCCTGGCGTTTGGAGCCCCTGGTTGGGTCGCCAGAAGGCTCTCTAGAAGGGCCAGGAGGGTCTTGGGGCTGAGACATGCTGCACTTAACCAGCCGTGTGCTCTGGCTGCTTTGCTGCCACAAGTGGCTGTGAGGGGCTTTCAAAAAAGCCTCTTTCGAAAAAGAGCATCTAGACTGCAAGCAGTACTTTCGAAAAAGCAAGTCGCTTTTTCGAAAGAAAGCAGCGAGTAAGTCTGGAAGCTCTCTTTCTAAAAAGCCCTGTTGGCATTCAAGAATGCCTTTTTTCGAAAGAGCACTTTCAAAAATAGGCATTCTTCCTCGTGAAATGAGGTTTACCGCCGTCGAAAGAAAAGCTGCGTTCTTTCGATTTAATTTCGAAAGAACGCGGCTGCAGTCTAGATGCAGGTGAAGTTTTTTCGAAAAAAGGCTACTTTTTTCGAAAAAAACCCTGAGTCTGGACATAGCCCAGCTGACCCCGGGCTTCATGCAGCGCTGCCCTTTTGAAGCACTGGAGCTGCATTTCAAAGGGCAGCACAGCATTAACGCCTGAGATTAACGCATTAATTTTTTAAATGCATTAATCCTGTCCTGTATTAATCGCAGGCATTAACGAAGATAAATTGACAGCCCTAAAAAAATGGTTTTCTTGTAGGATGATAGATATCTCATGGGCAATTACATCGGTTTAGAAGTATACTGGCCATCTCAATAGATAGATATAGCATTGTATACTAGGTGAGAGTTATCTGGGATTTGTAGAGCAATCCCAAGTTTTTGATTTGTACTGTATTCCTCTGGCAACGCATGACTCTACCATGCTTAACTTTTTTCCTATTTGGATGCCTTGAGTTTAATCCCATAGAGATTGTACATCAGTAACTTTGAAAAGATTTCCAGTAGCTGTGTATTTACTTCCTTGTTTTGTCAAAATTAAATATTTTGACAATGCTCTAATCATTTGTATTGATCTCTGTTAAGCCACATTTGCCCTTTGTAAGTGAAATATCAATGCTCAGTGATTTTGACTGCGTTATTACACATTGTCCAATATAATTACTAAGACATTACTTCTGTGTATAGCTATTGTCCAAATCATTCTGTGACACAATGTGTTAGTCACAATATTTTGCTTGAAGACCGGTACGTCAAAGTACTCTACAGAATTTATGCACACGATAATGGAGTTCGCGTGGCCATTTAGTGCACAGCAGGCTAGAATACCATAGATTGCCATGTAGTGTATCCCGGCTTGCCATGTATTAAGTCAACAGTCTCTTTGAAGTGCAGCAGCAGAATCTCAACCCCTTGTCTTAACTCTCGAGGTACACTGCTACTTCTGTATATTAAATGTGACTGTAGAAATAATTATGTTAAATGTTGCCAGTATAGGCATGATTTGTTTTCCATGTTTACTCAGGTACAAGAGTTAATAATCATGTCAAAACACTGAGCCTTTTGTTTGTTCTGCCTGAAGATGTCCACAGTTAAATGAGCAAATAATTAGAGATACATCTATATAAGACTTTATAGAGTAATAGTTTTATTAATTTACCACTACTTCCATTTTTATCTAAAAAGTTGCAAATATTGATTTTTACTATCACTTATTCAAGATGTTGTAAAACAGCAGTCCCTCTAATGCATGTGCTGAAAAATAGCTTGAAATGGTTTTGTTTATGATGACCCATTGTTTTCCTCTCCATTTTATCAAGTTACTCAATGTTCCTCATTCCAAGATGTAACTCTCTATACCTTACATCAGGAGTTCCCAACCTTTTTTGGTCCCCGTACTCCTTGGCTTTTAGTAAACCTTCCCGTATCCCCTATTCAATATGAAAGGAAATAAATTCTAGACTCTAGAATCCACAACTTTTTTCACTAACACTGCTACTTTTAGAATATTTCAATTAGGATAATCTAGTTATTTACCAAATATTCCCTGTACCTCCTTGACAAGTTTCTCGTACCCACTGGGGGTACGCGTACCCCAGGTTGGGAACCCCCTGCCTTACATGATAATCTTTGGTACAGGAAATTGGGAAGTTGAGTGTTTAGGCTAAGAGCACCCAGTTTCTTCAAATGATGGGTGCTCTTAGCCTAAACATTGTTTAAAAAAAAAGATCTTGTGAAATGGTTTCTGAAATACCCATATCTATGGTGGTGCATTATTACTTCATCTTTTTGTAGTGTTCTTTCAATGTAAAGACTTAAACTTGTTTAACTCTATACTCTGAGTTGCACCTTTGATTCAAAATACCTGTGTATATATAGTTAAGCACATGTGAAAGTCTTCGATGGCTCAGGGCTTTTCACTCATTTTCTATTATACATTGATTTCTTAAAATCGTACAGCGAAGCTTATGCAAACTTCTATGAAACACACAACAACATTTTTCAGTCCTTCCCAACATCAGAGAAGGAACTGCTGAAAGGTCACTAACGTAAATCAAAATCATACCTTGTACAAGTCAGTAATCATTTGGAAAAGTATGTGTCCTTAACCCCCTGTAACTTTCATCATTTTATGTTTTCAGGTATTTTCCTTTACTGCTGATAAAGAGATCCGCACAGATGATTTATGCTTGGATGTTTCTAGACTCAATGGCCCTGTGATCATGTTGAAATGCCATCATATGAGAGGAAATCAGCTCTGGGAGTATGATGCTGAGGTATATAACGATTTAATAACTAGAGCAGAAAATTAGAGGTCCAATGTTTCATATCCATTGCTACCCATTTTAATTTCAGTTGTATTGTTTGGCATAGGTGTGTTATAAGTATACATTTGTCAGTTTTTGGTCACAAAGGATAATTTGTGAGTTTGATAGTGGCCAGTGGGAATAATTTATCATACTTTTATTGTGATGGGATTGTTTCCTACTAATTTAGGAATGCAGGGTGCTAAACTAAATACAATTGGTTGAAAAGTGTTCAGTTTTCAATTTTTCAGCCAAAACCACAAAAAAGATGAAAAATTACTGTAATTTTGGTAGAGTTATAGAACACAGTACAGGTTTTTGCTTTTTCAGAAATGTGCATTGAAAAGTTAAATATTTAAAAATACAGTAAAAATTTCGAAATGCTACTGTTTTTTCTACCAGGTCTTAAATGGCAGTTGCTTGGGTCTGGATTTTAACATCAGAAACAGTGTGATAGGCAGCTTTCTTTACAGGACTCTGATCTTGGGGGGGGGGGGGAAATGCATCTTTAAGCAATGAGCAGAGCAGTCCCATTGTAGGCAACAGATTAAGAAATTTTGGGCCTCTTCAATTCATATTGAAGTTTGCTGGAGTTGAAATGAGTTGGAACCTTGTAGAAAGTGTTAGGCACCTCACAGGATCAGTCCCACAATGTAAATGAAATACTTGATTGGCTCAGTTCTGTGAAGTGCTGAGTACCCTCAAAACAGTGGGAGTTGAGGAACCTCAACACTTGCACAGTCAGTCCTTAGAGTTACTTTTTTCCACCATAGGTTTGGTATACTTGTTGTAAATTCAGGCTGCTTGTTGTAAAAAGTTTAATCTAACACTCATCTGTGCAATTTAAGAGACTGCAAATTGCAAATAGTCATTTATATTTGGATCAATTGCTCTTGTTAGGCAATAGATTTACACAGTGCTACAAGCAACTGACTGTTTCCAAAATCATCTCATTCCCCAAACTGTTAAGAATGCTTTAACTCTCATTATATACAAAATACAAAGCATAGATTTGTAAAACTTAGTGGAACAGGGCTAGCTTGGTTTTGATTTTCCAGAAATGCAGCTCAACTCTCAAAAGTTTGATGACTTGGGGCATTTACTTTAAATGTCAGCTATTCAGGCTATTGAATTGAGGTATTTCAGGCTCATGAGACCAGCTCAAATGGCCTTTCTATCATTAACTTTAATTGTTTTACTTTTAAAAAAGCGCTCTCTGCCCATTAATGAATCTGAAGCTAGAAAGAGCAAGACCACTGGGGAATTTTCTGATATAACTTCCTGATGCTCACGGTGACCTATTTTATCATGTTATGTGTCTCTTTTTCATATGCAAAAGCAGTCAGACCTAATTTATCCAAGCCAACTGGTGTACTGAAAAAATGTGTTTGCAATCTGTGCACATATTTTAATTCCAAGCACGCTGGATTTTTAGTAAATTCTTCATAGCTGTTTAAATTATCTAAGACCAGAGGCCCACAAATGAATGCTACTTGGATACAAACTTCAGGTGTGTACTATAAGTGTGCAGGGTCCAAAACCTGCTCACTACTGGGTGAGTGCTGCACGTAAGAGTCTGAATCAGCAGAGAATGTGTGCCAGGGGCTTCGGGACTCCTGAGCATACTATGCAATAACAGCAGCGCTCTAGAAAAAAGAATGGGGGTGAAGCCAGTGGGTCTGCATGCATCTCAGATCTAAATAAGTACTAACTTGCTGTAAAAGAAGAAGAGTGGACAGTGTCCCCTGCTTAGCAGCCAGGCACTTGTGTTTTCCCTGGAACTTACTTTTAGTATGTTCCTATTATCGGAACATCTCTTGAGAGCACATTACTTATAGTAGGAAATCCTGACCCTATTGAAGAATCCCAAGCACTGCTACAGACTGGGGACTGACTGGCTGAGCAGCAATTTTTCAGAAAAGGATCTGTGGATTACAGTGGATGAGAAGCTGGATGAATCAACAGTGTGCCCTTGTTGCCAAGAAGGCTAATGGCATATTGGGCTGCATTAGCAGGAGCATTGCCAGCAGATCTAGGGACGTGATTATTCCCCTCTGTTTGGCACTGGTGAGGCCACATCTGGAGTATTGTGTCCGGTTTTGGCTTCAATCACCTAAAGGGGGTTCCAAAGAGGATGGACCCAGGCTATTCTCAGAGGTGACAGAATAAGAAGCAATGGTCTCAAATTGCAGTGGGGGAGTACTAGGTTGGATATTAGGAAAAACTAACTGGAGGGTGATGAATCACTAGAATGGGTTGTCTTGGGGAAAGGGGGGGTATATGGAATCTCCATCCATAGAGAGGTTTTTAAGACTAGGCTTGATAAAACTCTGGCTGGAATAATTTAGTTTGGCTTGGTCCTGGGTTGGACTAGACAACTTCCTGAGGTCTCTTCTAACTCTAATCTTTTATGATTCTAAGTCACCTCCTATTGATTTTGGTGAGGTACATATAGTGCCTAGCATTCATATTGATAATCCACTGTGCCATGGATGTTTCTAAGTATATCCTCCCTCACTTCAGTTCTCATTTTGGATTTTATTTCAAAATATTTTTCCCAAATCAAACTCAGAGAGGAATTATTGTTAATAAATATAGAATCCTCCCCTTCCTGAATAGCTTGGCTTAAAATAAGCTTCCACAAAGATAATGGCCTTAATCCTGATCCTCTTACTAGTATGAATTGCCTGCAGTAGCTGATTTAACAGGATACTCAGTGATACATTTCTGTAGATCTGAGATCAGAATCTGGTTCTTAATCTGATTAGCTAGAGTCAAGGGAGCATTGCCTGTGGCTTTCTTCTGAGCCTTAACAAATGCCAAATTGGATTTTTTTTGAGTAAGTCTAAAAAAAATATTGTGTTTATAACACCTATACAATTGTTTGGAAAACTACTTTAATTCTATTAATGATTAGATATGTAAATTCTCTAGCACATTCTCTATCTATGGCTTTCCTTCTACAAACCATACCATCACTTTCCTTTTAATATGCTATCTTTTCTATTTAGAGGGATCCAACATAAAACATAACATTTAGCATAATGGAAGAATTTATAAGCCAGTTATAAAAACAAAATCAACCATTAGATGGCGCTAATAAAAAAGAAATAGTCACTGTGCTTCATGTTCAGTTTTATATGAGAATTCTGTGAACATTGCTCTGTTTTGCCATCTGTTTTCACATGAAAAACACAAGCAGTTACATTAAGTAGAGAAATAGAATTTTTGCATGCTTTATTCATGGACTTTATTTTATAGAACACACTGTAATATCTGTCAGGTTATGTGATTCTTTGCAACACTGAGCATAGTTCTCTTCTCAGTCACCTCTGCCTTATGGGAATGGGTTTGGTACATTTTAAAGTTAAAATCTTCTCCCCATCCTTGATATCTGTGGAAGGATTGGGCCACCTGTTACTACCTGTTGCATTCCATGTGCTTATTAAAGAAATATTATTAAACAATTTTGCATGACTTTATGCTACAAGCTGGAAAAAAGTAACTATGCTCGGTGTTATGTCCTGAGCCAATGGTCAATTATTTCATCAACATTAGGGGTTATCTATATATCATCTTAGTGGGTAGTTTGATGTTTTGCAAAACATCCTTACTACACATTTTCCAAAAACTGTACTTCCAAACCTACAGAGATTATATGTAGTATCTATTATTTGTTTGTGGTAATGCAAAAAGAAAGTGTTTAACATATCCTTGAGGATAAAATTGATATCTAAACAAAGCTCCATGGAGAACATATGTCTCTTATAAATCATCAGTGCAAAAACTTCAGAGAAGGATTACATGTTAGGCCCCAATTCTTGGATGTATATGTGTGGTTGGCATCTGAAAGGCTCATAGTATGTGTGGTTGGCATCTGAGAGGCTCATAGCTCAAGAGTTAGTCTGATCGCTTGCTACAGAAGCATAATTGTCAGCTATTACTTCGCTTGTCTTCAATGTTCCCTCTAACTTTTTCCATATATGTGTGGAATACATTTTGTTGTGTGCTCTGAGGCATGTGAGGATGCGCACCCCTTCACGGCACTCTGCTAATCTGTGGAGTGGCATTTCATAGAATACTAGGACTGGAAGGGACCTCGAGAGGTCATCGAGTCCAGTCCCCTGCCCTCATGACAGGACCAAGTACTGTGTAGACCATCCCTGATAGACATTTATCTAACCTACTCTTAAATATCTCCACAGATGGAGATTCCACAACCTCCCTGGGCTGGGATTTGAATCTCTCCTGGGTGGTTGCTCAAGCACATAGCTTGCAGAGATGCATTTTACATTGTACAGCTTACAGCCATCCATTTTATGCACAGATGTCTGAGAAACTCTTATTCTGCATGTACAGACACTCATTTTTTCTTCAACTGTTCCTCTTCCCCTTCCTTTTGGCACATAGTTACCACATTTTCCCTCAGGGTAACCTTACCCTAGTGAAATTTCCCTGTAGGTAACTGTCAACATACTATCTGGATTTATATATATATTTTCCTTGTTGCATGTATGTTTTCAGCAGCACTAGAATGTGACTGCAAGACAGCCCACATGAAAGAAGCACCATAAATGCTTGTCAGGTCTCATACTAAAGATACACATGGATGTGATCCATGCTTTCATGTCAATTTCTAGTCAGTGTTTCATACCTAGAGTGGTCCCCCCACTCCAAACTAGCCTCATAGTCCTTAAAGTGGGCATAAAAGGTATTGAAGAAGCCTAAAAAGAACTGAACAGTATTCCCACACAGCTGTCCTTATCTGTGTTGGTCTCACTCAGTAGACCAAACAGCTGTTATACTCTGTTATAGCTTTCTGATAGATACTTTGAAATGATGAGCCGACCTACATGCTGGGGTCAAGAGGCAGAGCCAAATCTTGAGAGACACTGGAGTTTCGTTACGGACTTTTGTGGTGCTCAGCACCATGTACCCAACAGATCTTATACTGAAGGTCAGATCAAAAG